TGATTGTTGATTGCTGGTTTCCCCTACCAGAATGTAAGCTCCATGAAAGCAAATCTTGGTTTTGTTTACTGCTGTATCCCCAGCACTGGAACAATGCCTGGTGCCCAGCAGGTACTCAGTAAATGAATCAAGTGAAACTAATCAAAAGATCTGGGTTCCATGACAGGAAAGAGCTTGCACTGGGAACGCTGTACCAGGTAGTTTAGAAGTTGCAGAGCACAGAGCCAGAAAGGACCTTGAAATCCCTGGGGATTCACAGAAACCTTGGGGTGAGTACCAGACTTTATGAAAGGAGTGGAAGGGGAAATATGGAGTAACTCTAACGGACACCTGTCTCATACACACATCGTCTTATTTCATCTTAGTATCACAACAGATGAGGAAACTGAAGATCAGAAAGGTGAAGTGACTTACCCAAAGATTTTCAGCAAAGTAGCAGGGCCGGAATCTGAAATCAGCTCTATCTGACTCTAGAAACCATGTTCTTTCCAAGACACCACACAGCTGAGGAGAAAGTTTGGCAAAGGGTATTTGTTCAGTTAAGTAATTGTTGAAGGAATGAAAAAATGCTTCATAGAGAAAGTGATTGTTCATTTGGTCTTTTTTGAGATCAAACAGCCTTAGGGAAAGACCAAAAGCAGACCAAGAGAAAGAAGCAGCTTGGACAGAAAGTTTTAAGATTAGGCAGTGAGGTGAGGAGCTGTCCAGGGAACACTGAGTATCTCAGCTTAGCTGGGTCTTAAAGTGTTGAAGGAGCATTTGGGAAGATCAGGTCTCCAAGGACTTGAATGTGAAAGATCTTGACAGCTTGGTTATGGAATTTGAGATTTACCACGAGACAACAGGGAGCATTAAGCTGTAATGTGGTCAGACACTACTCTGGGAAGTCATTCTGGGGCGCTGGGGACAGGGTTAAAAAAGCATCTTTTGTAATAGTCCCTGTGAAGGGTTATTGCCAAAGAAATCAATCTCTCAATCCATGAGAGAGGTTGAGAGTTGAGGTTAAAACCAGCCCCCACCTACACATTCACACAATAGCCACTAGTTGGCAGCAATGTTCCAAGAAATCAGTGAGCCAGCCCCTGCAAGTAGCAGCTTCCTCAGCCAACTCCTTGGGCTGTCCTGGGATATGGCTGGAACACACAGAGAAAGTGAGGGGATCAGTCTTTGTGGAGGGACCCCCAAAGGTACATAGGGGAAGGAGTATGTGGAGGTCAGAGGACAGAGTGATCAATGCCTGAAGGATGGTTGCGTTGGGGCAGGGGTAGGGGGTGGCGGCTGGAGGCAGTGGAGAGAGGAGGCTACATCTGAGAGCTAGAAACATTGCAAACAGCCTTGAGTTCCCAGGCTAAGAAAGCTGAATGTTACCCTGAGGGAAATGGGAGCCCAGGAAGGGTTTTAAGTAGAAGAAAAACATGCCGAGATTTGCCTTTTAGAAAGATCACAAAGATGATTGTGTGGAGAATGAAGGGAAAGAGACAGGAAGTGAGGAGGTGCTGCAGTGACCTCTGTAGAGAAAAGTGGTCTGAACCAGGGCCAGCAATGGCAGTGGACAGAACAGGTCAGATTTGTAAGAGACTTACATAAAAACCATAGAATGAGAAAGGGCATCAAAATGTAGTTTTCATAGAAGAGAATGAATATTCTCTCCCCATTATTAAGAACACATTCTGAATTGTTGGATTTTCTCCCTAAAACTGCATTGGGAGAACTCAGATCGTGGAACTTCTTTTAGGTCTAAATTCACTCAGCAATCCTGACCAGTCTGTGGTGGGAACTGGCAACAAAGGAATGATTTAGCAGTTGCCTCCCCAGTCTGGGGGAATAAGTCAACTCCTGTACAGCGTCGAGGTGGCTTTGCTGAAGGAAATATAGGATGCTGTGGGGTCCAGCGGGGGAACCTGATCCAGGGATCCAGGGAGAATAGACTTTTGAGCCTGAGACATCAGATAAAGTTTCTCACAAAACTGTAAGCTAAGCATTGGAAAAGAAGGGAGTTTGGGAGGAGCCCCGTTACCTATTTACTCCTTTTCGTCAAAAGCCGTCACCTTTTGTGCTATAAGGTATCCCAGGGGAGCTACATTCCTCAGGATGCCAGCGCTAACCCAGCCACGGTCGCCAGCTCTTAGAGCAAACGCACCTCCCTGAAGACAGAGGACCACAGAGTCCCTTACTTGGTCCTGGACCACCGCCAGGAGCAGCCAGGCTGTGATTGGTGGGAGCCTGGGACCCGCCCCTCACCAGCCCAACATTGCGGTTCTGATTGGTGAAGACACTGCGTAGCCCCGCCCTCCCCGCGAGTAGACAATGGAGGTTAACCACGTGGGTGCGGGAGTGCCCAGCCGGCCCTGAAGCACCGGTGTTAGGGGTCTATGGGGAAGATGAAAGATCGCCCTGGCACCAAATCTACACTCACGATGGATTGCGGCCTCTAGAGAACAGGCGTCAAGGGACCGGAAACTGTGCCTCCTTAAGAATGTGGACCCACGCTGGGGCGGGCGGGGACTCCAGGCGCCTGCGTGCACCTCGCAGTTTGGGAAATGGTGGCATCCGGCACGTTGGTGCAAGCCTTGTGAAGGGCGGGAACCGGGGAGTAGATTCTCGGACCTTTTCAAACCAAGGTCTGGAGCCCTGGGCTGTGGCGGGGCTAGAGTGTTTCCAGGCTCTGCCCTATCTCGGCGCTATCTGCTTTGCATCCCTAAGCTCTGGCCGCTAGCGTGCCTCTTCGGCCCTAACCCCACCCCTAGTCCGTTTCCTTCCGGTGGGACAGCAGCCTGTGTCACCATAGGTTTTTAAGAGCCCTGAGTGCACACCTGGCAGCAGGGGTCTCTGACTCTTTGCACTAACCCGCCTAGGGCCCCAGCGAACTAACTCCTTTCAACAGAAGACTTTTGAGGACATGGACATGTGATAAGTCCTCCTTCATCGCACCTGGCCCCTGCCCGTCATCGGTTCACCACCCTGCCTGCCTGCTCAGGCAAAGCACACCTCTTCTCTGAACTTCCCTCTGTGAGATGATGGCTGACTCTTCAGGTTCTTTATACCTAATGATACCGATAGGCACTGCCAACTAGGATGTACTTTCTTTCCCTTCTCGCCCTCTACAACCCCTCTTCATGCCAAGCAGGTTTTAGTCTCACCTGTGTGCAGTTATGAAAGCTTCCACAGGTATATCCCACCCCACCCCCCAAGATTTTGTCAGATGAACCTCTAGGGACAAATCTTTAGTGCTTCTATTTCATCAACTGTCTTCTGCCTGCCTGCTCTATGCCAAGTACTGTATTTAGTACTGGACAGCCAGAAGAACCAAATTGACTTCTTTCTGTGAAATAGAGGCTAGTGGAAGAAATAGGAACTTGTGATAAACATATAGTGCCACAGGAAAGAAACAAAGTGCTCTTGAAATTCAGGGGTTGGGAGAATGGCATGAGAAATCTTTCCAGAGTGTGCAGTAGACTATAGGCTGTATCATACAGGGCATTCTGAATTAAGTAGATGGAAAAAGGCAGCTTAACAGCTCACTCTGCCCATGCAGTGAACATGGTTCATTGGAGGGGATGGGAGTTTGAGGGGAGGACTGAGCTATAGGGTAGGTGGTGTGCAGTATAATTTTTTTTTTCTTCTTTGCCACACCATGTGGCTTGCAGGATCTTAGTTCCCCTAACCAAGGACTGAACCTGGGCCACACAGTGAAAGCATCAGGGAATTCCTGCAGTATAACTTAAAAGCAGGGGTTTCAGCATATTTGCTGTGAACCTTCAGGCACATTAACCTCTTTGAGTCTGTCAAACATACAGAGATAGTACCTACCTCACTTTCAAGATAATGCATATCAAGTCCTGAGCATCAAGGTCAGCACATAGCTGTCATTCTTTTGAATACCAGCTATCATTTGTGAAGAAAAATGGGAATGCCTCAAATGCCACAATTTTTAGGTAAATCTCTAGGTAATAGAGAGCAAACAGATTTTTAAGCAGTAGAGGGTGTTGACCAACAGTGCTTGGAAATAACTGGATCTTGGAGTCAGAAAGTCTGAAGCTGTTCTAAGAGTGGCTTCTCTCCCATTCCCATCCAAATCTGCCTACCCTCAATCCACACGCATTTCAAAACCATGTTTCTAAAAACCAGCCATTTATATCTGCTTAAGTAAGTTACAGAGGGAGGAAGGTGGTGTATTTACAAGTTGGTTTGTCCAGATATACTATAACTTAGTGTCTGTATTTAACATTGACAACCAAAAAATATATATAAATATCTTCCAACTATACACAGCAGGGCAGGAGTGTCCAGGTCTTCTTGCATAGTGAGTTCCCAGTTTCCCATGGCCCCCCTCCTCTCATGGAGATTGTCTGGCCCTCAGTGCAAAGGAGACTAGCACCTGGCAGCCCAGTCTGGCCCCTCCGCTCTCCTCCCTGCACTCCAGTGCTCCCAACTCGTCTCAGGCAAGGGAAGATTAATTTGAGTGGTTGGGTAGGAAGAGACGGGAATAGGCAAAACCTAACAGAGCCTGACCCCTAGATTGGGGAGACCCAGGCCCACAGAAGGGGTGGCCATAGCCACCTCTTGGGGTAGAAGACTCATAGTTTGCAGTTCGATTAGTGTGTCCTTAGGTCATAGGTCCGGCCCTACAGATTAGCTTGGCAAAGAAGGCAAGTGTCTAGGCAGGGCTTGGTCCCACCCTCAGGCACTGAGCCGTTTAGGGTGAAGCCAGGGATGTGGGTGAAGGAGACTCTGGCTGATAAAAAAATAATAACAAAATCAGTAATAAAAAATTATAAAACCTGTTGCTTGTCTGAATAGATCTGAGCAACAGTCTTTTGTTAAAATCCTGGAGCCGTTAATGTCCTGAATTTTCTTCTGGACATCACTGCTGGCTGAAGGAAGGAGCCCCAGGCCCGGCTCTGCTGAGATCTATCAGTTTGAGAGTCTCATCCAGCTGCCTGCGTGCTGAGAGATCCTTGGGCCGCTGGGAGCAGACCAGGCTGGACGTGTAGGGCACCTCACACTTGGGAATCAGCTCCCAGGGGGTGGAACAGCTCCTCAGGTGTCTTGTCACTTTGGCTTGCTCCTCCCTGCCGGAAGCCGGAAGCAATCTCATCGAAGGTCCGGCCTTTTGTCTCGGGAACTTTGAAGTAGGTGAAGATGAAGAACAGAACCAGGAGCACGGTGAAGATGATGAAGACGTAGGGTCCGCACAGTTCCTGAAAGACACATAGAAACACTTGGTTGGAGACCTGACGCTACATCCTGCCCTTAGGATGGACGGTCATTTTACCTTTGGGTCCTTGATCTGAAAAAGGGAACACCCACCTACAACCCAGGACTCTGCTGAACCTGGCATGTGATAAGAGCAGGTTCTGATGGCAGAGCAGAATAGACAATTCAAAGCTAAGGCAAGAACCTTGGAGTGGAGGTCAGGGTTCTGAGCCCATAACCTGGCCTTCTGAGCCTGTTTCCTCCCCAGTGTGATTCCAGTAAGAATAGCAGGGACAGCATTTTGCACAGCTCTGTGGGGTCCTGTGTGCAGGAGAGAAACACTGGAGTGTGGGGACTCTGGGGCTCTCACCTGCACATACTGGAAGCACATGCCCACAATGAAATTCGAGGTCCAGTTGGAGAAGCCGGCAACGGCAATGGCAGCAGGACGAGGGCCCTGGCTGAAGAGTTCAGCCACAATGAACCACGGGATGGGGCCTGGGCCCACTTCGAAAAAGGCCACAAAGCCAAAGATGGCCACGATGCTCAGGTAGGACATCCAGGGCAGCCGCTCCTGTTGAGGATGAGAGAGGGGAGGAAAGTTAGGCTGGGCTGTGTTGGGTCCACAGAGGAAACCAACTTCAGGGGCAGGCCAGGGCAGGCTCAGAACTCTGGCAGGCAGGAGGCCTCGGGCTGGTCCTGGATTTGCTGTGTGACTTAGGTACCCTGTGCCAGGTCTGTTTTCTCATCTGAACAAAACAGTTTAAGCCCTGCATGGTGCTTGTGAGCTTACGTCTGCCTCCAGGAACGGTCATGTAGTTGCATGCAGGAGGTGCTAAGAAGAGGTCCCTGTGGTCCCCTGGCTCTGGCTGTGGAGCAGTCTGCTTATGGCGGGAGGATGTGGAAGAACATTCCTGGGGGTGGCTGTCAGAGGCTTGTAAGGTACCCAGCTCAGGACCAGCATTGGGCAGGCATGAAGTTCCACAGAGAGCCATTCTCGAGGAGACCACAGTAGAAGAGTTATATGATTTTGTTCCAGATTCCAGATCCCCTGCTTATCACCTATGGCGTGCTGGGCCTCTCAGTCATGAACATACTCTCTAAGCCTTGGTGCAGCTGTAAAATAAGTGTCCTTGTGTTTTCCTTGCCCAAACACTGGACAAGCGAGTGGTGTGTGAAGTGCCTGGGATAAGGTTATCATAGAGGTTATAGTCACAGGCTTGGGGCCAGCAGACCTGAGGTTGATTCCTGGCTTTATCTGCCGCATTACTAACCTCACCCGGAAAGGGGTGGGGAGGGGGAAGTTTCCTCACTGGAGAAGTGGAAATATTGACTGAACTACTCCTGTGCGTCCTGAGGACTGAGTGAGATAAGGCATGTTTCCACGCCTCTGTGGTAAGGAGGGCATTGCTTTCCAGGGCTGTTTACAAGAATTGAGGCTGCAGAGGAAGACTTTGCAGAGCAGCTCTAGGGGCGAGGGAACTGGCAGGGCTGGAGGTGTGGTGGTGAGGAAGCACCAGGCAGGGAGGAGCTGGTTTAAGACCCGATGAGAGTGGAAAGAGACAGCAAGAGGAAGCCGAAGGTCCGGCCCAAGCCCGGGGCTGTGGGTGCGGCAGAATGAGGGTGAGGGCAGCCCCACCTGGGGTCCAGCCAGCCTGGGACTGAGAGGAGCACCTTGGGATCAGATGCCCACGTGAGCTCCACATCACCCTTCCTCTCCCCCTCCCCCCTGCCACCCCACCTCACCCCCAGAACACAGCAACTCACCAGCAGCGCCAGCGCGATGGTCATGAGCACTGCACAGCCTGCCATGCCGGCCAGGCCAATGAGATGCAGGGTCCGCCGGCCGGCTCGTTCCACCACAAATAGCTGTGGGCAGAGAGAGTGTCTGTGCCTCCCCTCCTGGTGCCCCTCCCTCCAGGCGGGTCCCCCCCAAGTCCTGGGAAAGCCACAGGGTGCCGCAGAGATGGAGTGGCAGATGGATTGCCTCTTCCCTGGGGCTGGGCTCGGGGACTACATAGGATCCCAGGGGGTGAGAGCTGCCCACGAGAGCCAGACAGCTGAGCATTCTGGCTGTGGCCTTGGGCCAGCCGATGCACTTCTCTGAGCACCAGTGTCAACTGATACGAGTGATGAACTTGACAAGTTGTTGAAGATGAAATGAGAGAGCACTTAGGGAGCACGTGATGCCTGCCTGGCTCACAGTAAAGACTGCTGTTCGGTCACGAGGCCCCGAGGCCCTGAGACCACAGGCTGGACCCCAGCTGCTGGCTGGCTGTGGGCAATGACGCGGAAGACTCACCGACACGACAGTAAAGGCTGTGTTGACGATGCCGGAGCCGATGGTGGCATACACGGGCTGCTGCACCCCCGCCTTCTTGAAGATGCTTGTGGAGTAATAGAAAACCTATGGGGACACAGTAGTCGGGGCTCAGCTGGGTGCTCTGGCTCTTCCCCAGCCTCTGTCCCAGTGGGTGCAGAACACACAGTCAGTAAAGGACACTGAAGAGGACACTGCACAAGGGCCCTTCTGAGTTTGGGTTCTAAAGGAGCGCTGCTCCTCGGGCAGGGGTCCGTCTGCTGTTTCAGGTGTGGGATCTGTCCACAGGATGCCTTGGGCCCCAGGGATTGGCAGGGGGCACAGGAGAGGGTGGGTACGGGACACTCACAGCGTTGATGCCGGACAGCTGCTGGGACAGCTGCAGCACCACGGCAATGAGGATGGGCTGGCGGTAGGCTGCCGAGCGGAACAGCTCCAGGATGGTGACCTTCTTCTCCCGCATCATCTGCCGGCTCTCCTCCTTCATCTCCTGCAGGTCGCGGGTCACATCCGCGGTCCCACGCAGCTTCTTCAGCACTGAGGGGGCCGGAGGGAAGGCGGGGGTGGCTCAGCGCCGGGAGGAGGCTGGGGCCGGGGGCGGGGAGGGGCAGGGCCCGCCGTACCGCTCTTGGCCCGGTTCTCCTCGTTGCGGTTAATGAGCAGGAAGCGGGGGCTCTCGGGGCAGAAGGGCAGCAGGACGCACTGCAGCAGGGCCGGGATGAAGATGACGCTCAGCAGCAGGGGCCACAGATCCTGGTTGCCCATGATGGAGTCCAGGCCGAACACCTGGGGGAGGCAGGGCGGGAGCAGCGGCTGTGAGCGCCCGGCTCAGGGCTCGCTCCCGCCCCGCTCCGCCCAGGAGCCCTTCCCCGCTTCAGACAGAGGGCTCTAGTTCTGAGTCTAGTTGTGCCACTAATGTGAGGCTTAACTTCTCTGAGGGGGCTTCCCTCATAGCTAAGTTGGTAAAGAATCCGCCTGCAATGCAGGAGACCCCGGTTCGATTCCTGCATCGGGAAGATCCGCTGGAAAAGGGAAAGGCTACCCATTCCAGTATTCTTGGGCTTCCCTTGTGGCTCAGCTGGTAAAGTATCTGCCCGCAATGCGGGAGACCTGGGTTCAATCCCTGGGTTGGGAAGATCCCCTGGAGAAGGGAAAGGCTACCCACTCCAGTATTCTGGCCTGGAGAATTCCATGGACTGCATAGTCCATGGGGTCACAAAGAGTCGGACCCAACTGAGTGACTTTCACTTTCACTTAACTTCTCTGAACCTCGGTTTCCTCATCTGTGACAAGGGGGAAGCAGGACCTGCTTAACAGCATTTGGGGGTGGTGGGGATAAGATAGCAGGATGGCAAACATGTCTGGCAGGGGGCAGGGGGACTGCTACCCTGCCACAAGATGATTTGGGGATGGAGAAGGGAGAGCCCGGAGAGAGGGGAGTGCGTACACATATACAGGCGTCAGGGCCTGGAGGTGTGAGAGAGACGATGGCAGGTTGGGAAACCAGTAGGCTGCCCTGTGCTTGGGTGCCCAGGGTGAGAAGAAAGGAGGCAAGGCTGACTGGGCGGGGATGAGAAGGGTCAAGGCAACTGGACTTGCTCTCCCACCAGGAATGGGGAAGTGGGGAGGATGATGAACGTGGTGTGTTCTTGGGACCTGTGCCTCGGATGTGGCCACGAGGCTGTCCTCTCCAGGGCTGTGGAAGGCTGGGCAAAGAGTCGAATCTGGACACACACCCGAGGGATGGAGCCATGGGTGGGTGCTTACCTGGGCGATGAGGATGCCGACGACGATGCCCAGCTGGTGCAGTGTGCCCAGGGCCCCTCGAAGCTCCGTGGGGGACACTTCCCCCACGTACATGGGCACAAAGCCAGTGGTCAGGCCGCAGTACACACCAATGATGAAGCGACCCAGGATCAGCATCTCAAAGGACTTGCCCAGTTTTGAGAAGCCCATGAGTACAGCAGACACGAAGGCCAGCAGGTTCATCATCAGCATTGAATTCCGCCTGGGGGGGGGGTGGTGCAGGTGAGGAGTGGAGGAGGTCACAGGTCAGGCAGGTCCCTGGAGACCCCTGGAAACCCCAGGGGCTGGGTCATAGATAATGCCCTAAGATAGGCAGAGAAGGCCCCCTCACCCCCTGAACTCCAAGCTGGGACTCCCTGGGCAGGGCCAGAACCCCTTCTGCTCACCGGCCAAAACGGTTAACAAAAAGGCCCACGGAGAAGGAACCAATCATGCCTCCCACTGAGAAGATGGCCACGGACAGGGACCAGAGTGTGGTCAGCGTGGTGGGCGGGATGGGGTCCCCATAGCGCTGGATCCACGTCTGGTTGTAGAACTCTTCAATCACCTGCAAGAGAAGCAGCAGCCTGGTGGGTGAGGCCAGGACCCATCGTCCTCTTCTCTCTCACTCCTCCTCAAAGAGGACCATTTTACCCCGGGATGCTGGAAGGGGCCCAGGGCCCCAGCCCCAGCTCTTCAGTGGGCTTCAGTGACCCCCGACCCTCACCTCCTCGTGAGAAACAGGGGGCTGGACTTGGTCTGCGAGGGAGAGTGGTGCCAGCTCTCACACCGCCCCCAGGTGCAGGACCCAGGGCCCTGTGGCTTCCGGTGCCCAACAGGACTTTCTGGGGATGACGGCAAGTGACCAGCACTGGGAGTTCAGCAGTGCAGAGGGGCTCAGAGACAGCGCTTCCGCCTGCATGCCCCCTTCCTGCAAGGTGCCTAAGGCCACTGGCCACTCTGGCTCTCTCCCCAACCCCCCTTCCTGGGGAGGAAATACAGCTGAACAGAGGCCCTGGGAGGAAGGGAGCAGCAGGCTCACTTTGCACTCAGGGTCTGGGGTGAACATCTTGCACCCAAATGCTCGTGAGACCAAGCTGCCACTCTCTATCCCCCAGGCCCAGCCCCTCCCGCCTGGCCTGGGAGATCCCCCCTGAAGGACAGATGGCCTCGTCCTCTCTCCAAGTTGCCCAGCTGGGAGGTTCGGGGAAAAGCTGCAGACAAGGAAGCAGTTCCAGGAACTGGAGACACCTGTCCTAGAACAGGCCTGCCCGCTAGCCCTGCCCCCACCAAGGGGAGGGCCTGGCCACTCAGGCCCGGGAATGTGGCAGGCGGGCAGCACCGGTTCTGCCTGCGCACACTCTCTGCTCTCAGGTGACACAGATACATGCCCACTGCCTCAGGACGGGCCAGACCCACCCAGCCACATGTGTAGCTGGGCACAGGCCCAGTGTACCCAGAAACAACTTCCTGTGTACCCAGGCCATCACACACTCACACACACATACACATACTCGTGCTCACATAATCTGAGTATTCCCGGCTTCAGCAAGTCACAAACCTGCATGCTCCTGTTGCCCTTACCATCTGCAGCTCAAACTCAACTCCACACCAGCCCAACCCAGGTGCACCCCTCCCCACTGCAAGTTCGGGTACCCTGGGCTGTATGCAGTCTCTCATACAGCACGATTTCCGTCGGCACTGCTCTTTGACTGTCCTTAACCTTTTCAAGCCCCACGGTCCCAGGAATGCCCACTCAGTGATCTATTTGTCTGTCCAGGGAAGCTGGACTCAACCAAGTTCAGACTCAGCTCTACCACTCATCTCCAGGGCAAGTGATTGTATTTCGAATGATGACATTAGCAATACTCACTTCATAGTGCTGTGGGGAGTTAATGAAACACACTTGCAGTGCTCACACGGTGCTTGGGACCACCGCTGAGCCGAGGAGCCCACCATGCATGTTTCAGTTCTGATTCAAGGGCAGTGCAGGCCACTGACAAAGGCTGACGGAGCCTGCATCCCATAAGTCAAAATCATGGCACTTGCTAGTGACGCTGCCTTTGGCTTAGGCACTGTTTCCCCACCTTCCACAGTTACTCCCCGAGGGCCTGCCCTGCCTTACCACACTGAAACCTTTTGAAATCCAGCTCAGAGGGTTCCAGGAGTCCGTCCTCCCTGAGGGCAGGGACCCCAGTGGATTCACCCCAGGGCCTGTCCCAGGGCTCACGCAGGATGAAGGAAGCCATGAAAGGGCTTAGGCTTTCCTCCTAGAAACCCTTACATCTACCAGCGGCACAGAAAGCAGATTTCAACCAAACAAAGTGCTTGTGTTCTTCAAGGGACAAAACCAATCCCAGAGGAGGACTGCTTGGGCACAGCAATGCTCCATTTATCAGGCTCTGCAGAGAGCAAGCTGTCCTGGATAAGAAACTGCCCAGATAAGTGACCCTCACCCCTCAGGGGGCCCATCATCTGCGTGGAAATCTTTCGCCCTCCTATCCCTTACCCTCTGCTGCCGTGAGCAACTGGACGCACAAGCAGGGCTTGAGTGCACTGCTGACCTTGGGGCTCTGCAGGGCTAAGGTGAGGTGTTTGCTCCAGGTGGCATTTAATTTTTGCACTCTGTAGTTTACCCCCACCCTCTGTGATTCAGAGGCTTGTCTCTCAGAACTCTCCCCACATGCGTTTTAAAATCTGCCAAACCAGTTAATGAAGCTCATTTGAATTGTGTGCAAAGAGTCAATATGTATAGCATTTATGAGGTGTCACCAGAGCCTCCCCAGTTACATCTCCTGCATATGGTGACAAGTCAGAGGGTCCAAACCCTGTTCCAGGTGAGCCTGGGTGAGCCTCTTTCTCGGCTCCTGAGCCCCTTGCTGCTTTGACCACTGTATGGGGTTGAGGGAGGCTGAGAAGCCAGCCCCCTCTACCCTGCCCCAGGTTCATCCTCTTCACCCGCCAGCAGCACTTCCTGGCCGAGTGGAGGCTGCCTAGTGGGTTCCTGCCTCTGGACCTGGTACTTGAGATTTGTGGGAAGAAGCCGAGTGAGGTTTTCCTTTCCCGCATGTGGTGTGTAGACTCTCTATCCTCTCCCCCTGGGGTGCATGCCCTATGTGGGGGATGAAGTTGACCCTTGGCTCAGGAAAGGCAGAGGGTCCCTCAAGAACAGAAGAACCCTACACGGGGAGAAGTTCTAGGGTCACCTCTCCCATCCAGCTGCCGCCCTCAGTATAATCCAGCAATGGCTGGGTGGCCCTCAGGGAAGAAGAGACTCTTTAGGGTTAGTCGCTCAGTCCTGTTTGACTCTTTGCAACCTCAGGGACTGTAACCCACCAGGCTCCTCTGTCCATGGAATTCTCCAAGCAAGAATACTGGAGTGGGTTGCCATTTCCTTCTCCAGGGGATCTTTCCCAACCCAGGGATCGAACCTGGGTCTCCTGCATTGCAGGCAGATTCTTTCCTGTCTGAGAGCCTCCTTACTGCTTCCTTAACTGGATCCCACAGACCCACACTGAGGCTCCTGGCAGCCTCCTCAGCCGCGGCTCATATGTGAGGCGAGGCCTTACACGTACATCTTCTGAATGCTCCAGCCCCACATTCTGGTTACCAGCCAGGAAGATAGATAGCCTTGGTCCTGCCACTGTCCCACATCCAGTCACTCAGCAGGTCCCATCCCTAAAATTCACCTCCTAACCTGTCCTCCTCTCTACCCACACAGCACCTGTCCTAGGCCTCACCTGGATCCGCTCCTGACTCCTCCCACCCACTGAAGCCAGATTCCGATTCCCACCATTACTCCCAGACCTGGCAGTCAAACCCTGGACGTCAAGTGGACCAGGCTCAGCCCTCCTCGTCTCTGCTCCCCGTCCCAGCCCGTCCCCAGCCTTTCTGCTGTGTGCTAAGGAGAAAGGGCAGGTCCTGGTCGGCCCTGGCGCCAGACTCTCTGTCCAGGCACCCCCTCATTGGAGCCAGAGGGCAGACTCTCCCTCGGCAATACTGCTGGGGGCCAGCAAGGAGAAGCAGGATGGCCCTGGGCAGCTGCCATCCCTTTCCAGTAACAAGCTTTTCCTCATTCCAGCCCTTCTTCCAGGGGTGAGGGTGGGAAGAGGTTTGTGTCATGTCTGACACCCCCTCCCTTCCATGCCTGAGTAGTAACTGTGGGTGAAGGGCCACACATCTGCCCGTCTGGAGTGGAAGTTCTGACTTCCTCTGTCAGGGCAGTGTCTGTAGTGAGGCTCTGGGCATGAGGCAGAACCTACTGTCTAGCACTTGGAGTAAGCGTGTCACTGTTGTCTCAAGGAGAGAAGCCACCTCCTTGAGAGGAGCACTAGGGACAGAGTTTTCCATTTTAAAATTGCTGAAAAACAAAGCATTATCCTAACGAATGTATAGTATGAGAAAGAACTTGAATAACTAGGCGTTTGCCTTGGGGAGTAAAGCTCTATCTTCAGACCTTGCTGGCAGCCCCAGGCCGAGGGACCCAGCAGGTCTGCAGGACCCCAGGGCATAGACTTCATCTGGGGATGGGGTGGGGGTAGTAAGGAGAGCTTTTGAATAAGATTACCCATGTTACAGGTAGTGAGTCCCCTGTCAGCAGGGAGCATACAAGTCAAAATTTGGATCAGGGATTGGCATAAACAACTCATATAAAAGGATAGATAGAAAATATTAAGGTTTGCTGACCACATATGGCCTCTTCTCTGTTGCTTATTTTTCTTCCCTTTCTCTTCAAACTTCTAAACATGGGAAAAACCATTCTTAGCTCACAGTCCTACAAAAACAGGCTGCTGGCTGGATTTGGTCCCCCTGCCAACCCATGTTCTAGAATTCCAGACTACTGCCAAGAGAAGGGGTATATGTTTTGGAACTTCTGGCTGGTCTCAACTTCTTCCCTGGAGAGGCCTGGTCTTCTAGATCATCCCGAGAGGGAAAATCAGTGCTCTCTCAAATCTTTCTTCTCTCTTTTAGACATACTGTCAGGATGACGGGGTTAAACAGACACTCAGTTTTTGAGCTCCACTTAGAAGGAAGAAAGGGCTGGCTTGTCCAGTTCAGTCCCTATTTTCCATTCCCTCCCCATCTCTCACCCACATCTGGGGCTGCCGCCACCCCTCAGCCCAGAGGGGATGTCTCCACAGCCGGCCCAGCCACACCCCAGGGTCAGCTGGGAGTTCAGAGACAGATGCTCCAGATGGGGCTGGACAGATAGCTTCTGGGTTCCCCTGGGGGCCTCTCCCTGGGGCCTGGGGAAGAGGCCCAGGCAGCCAGATGGAACTAGAAGCTAGGCCCCACCCCCAGAGCAGATGACCGGACCACCCACGTTGCTTTTCTGGAAGAGTCTTGACCTGGCTTCTCTCCAAGCCTTCGCTCTGACCTCCTCACCGGTCCTTGGCCTCTGGGGTCACCCCTGCAAACAGATCTTCATCTCACCTGCTCACAGCTCACACCCTCAGGATGAGTGTCTCTTCCCACCCCATGTGGCCACGCCCCGACGTGCAGTGCCATCTGAGCGCCCCACACCTCTGCACCTTCGCCTTGCCTCTCCTTTGCCTTCTGCCTGGTAAG